GTCCGAGGACTTTTCACGTCCACCAGCAGTGCAGCAGGCCATTTTTTCTCATGGACGAACGTGCTGAATGGTCACAAAGATAGCTGGGGAAGTTGCCGTCCACCACTTCCTGCCGAAGAGGCACCAAAGTACAGCGGTAAGAAAGTTTTGATTGTGATGCTCCGCAAAAAATTCTAAAAGTCACCTTGAAATCTACTAGTAGCAAGAAGCTGCTAGGTTGGAGGCCAGAAGCTACTAGGGTGGAGGCCAATTGCTACTAGTAACAAGAAGCTACAAACGTAGCAAAGGACACATTCAACGATCTCTTCAAAAGACTCTCTAGGAGGGCGAGTTCCTGAAAGAGTTTCAGAAGCCGACCGGCCTGTCTGGTAGCTTCTGGGCGATGGCATGGTCACCGGATTCCTCACGTGTGGCCACTGCGGGCGGTGACAAGAAGCTTCGAATCTGGGATCGTGACAGTGGCGCGCAAGTCGCCGAGGCTGCCGTCGGCACCAACCTTCAAGACATGCAAGTGGGGATCACATGGCCCTCCGCTTCCAAAGTGATCTCGGTGGCGCTGGATGGTCGGCTGATTTGCTGGGAGGTGGGAAGTGGCCTCTCCATGGAAGGCATTGTGGATGGCACCCAGGGACCCCTCAACTGTTTGGCCAGCGACAGCATGACTGGGAACCTCATCTATGGAGGCACTCAAGGCGCGGCGGGAGCATTCTGGTGTTCTTTTTCCATCCCTTTCACCCCTCGGCTCCACTCATGGGAGTTTTGTATTATGCAACGATCGCACATTTCAACACCGATTTTGGATCCTGAAACCTGGCTTTCCAGGTGCTCAAAGTTATTCTTCTGTCCAACTTCTATAGTCAAGTAATTCCCTTGAACTCGCTTCTCCCAGATCCACATTCGTGGGGCCCCTCCCTCCCCGCGGGGGTACTCCACCACCTCGCAGCCTCCTGCCGCCCAGGCTCCATCGCGGTGACGCCGGCCACGGGAGCCTCCATGAGGGCCATGGTGGGAAAGGGGATCCAGCACCTCTTCGCACACTCCAAGAGCTATGCCGGAGCACCGGAAACCCGGGTGGTAGCTTGGATAGCTTGGAAGTGGGAAGTGGGATTGGATGGGGAGGATGGGTTTGGCGATTAGGTTTGGTAGCTTCTTGTTGGCCTTCGAGAAGACTTGCTGCAAGAGCAGATTTCTGGCCCTGTTGGGTTTGTGTGGTTGCCTTCTTCTCTCATGTGCCCGGAAACAAAGGTGTGAGACTGGAAATGAAGCGAGTGCTTAATCTGCGCCTATGACACTAAAGGGATCAATCGGGATTAATCTGCGGTGTACTCCTAGAATGAGGTGTGGCTGATCAGTCATATGGAAACATGAAGGACAGGATGGCTTCTTTCAATTCTTTGTTAAGAGCTTCCGACCTCCTAAAGTCTCAAGTCGTCCAAATTCTTGGACCCAATAGAGGCGCCGCCCATCAGGTCTCCTTAGACGACTGCGTGCGACGATTGAACCTTGAGACTGGAGAGCTGAGCGCTCCGGTGGAATTGAAGGAGTTCGTGGTGGCCGGCGGCTGGCTGGACGCGGAGGAAACCATGCTGCTCTTGGTGAGTGGAAAGAGGCTCCGATGACGTGACGTGATGGTTTCGGGTTTAGCGTTGTAGGGCCTCAAGAGTCAGGTGCTGGCCCCACGACGTGAAGGGTTTCGATGGATTTTTGAGGAGATCTGTAGCGGTTTCTGAAACCATGTGTTTTCGCAGTTTGTGATTTTGTTCCCCAGATTGACGTGTGTTTTTTTGTTTTTAGTCTGGTATCTGCTCCTCCCTTCCTTCCTCCTCCTCCTCGCTCTCCACCAACCAATTGCCACCCACCAATTGTCACCAACCAATTGTCATCAACCGATTGGTCATCACGGGGTCGGATGTACGCCCCGGTGCTGGCCGGGGCTGCCCTGGCGTCGCTGGGTCTCCGCGGACATGAGACAAACAATCAACTTGCAACCAACAACCACCAACCAACAACCACCATCCCCACTTCCAAACAACAACCACCAACCGACTGCCACTCGCTCACTCTCCTCCGTCGTCTAACCCCTCCTCCCGACGCTTCTCCTTCTTCTCACTGCAGACATTGTCTCTTGCTAAGTTGTTAACATGTGGGGTTATCCGGTCCTATAACTAGCTTGTGTTAGCCCTTTTGCTCGTGTCACAAGCATGTTAGCCCCTTCGTGAACTGAACACCAGTCTGCTAGGACCTAGGACATGAAAGGCAGCTGAGAAAGACCCAGTCCCTCGAGCACCCAACTGTTCCTGTTGCCTCACATATTCAGTCGCTTCGCGACGACAACCGCCCGCACCATTGGCTCTTAGGGGTTCTGACTCCAATTATTCCACTTTGACATCCTTTTGAACTGGTGCCATATTGTAAAGTTGTTTTTGCATATCGTCATTCCATTTTCGACTTCCTTGAAATTGTATAATTTTCACGGGGTCTAAATTGTATCCAACAATGCTAGAAGACACAACATAACAGTTTGTAAGAGGATCCCCAAATAGAGTTATTGTAAAGACTTCTTCTATTCGTCTATTCATCCGCGGCGTGCTGCGTTCATCTCTAAGTCTTGTCTTGACCATGCAGGTGGTCCAGCTATGGAATCACTCTTCTTTTTTCGACCCCATGGGGTCCAAATTTTCCATTGGCAAACATTGTTGGATATAAGTTGGCCCCCTGAAAAATGCACAGCTTAAAAAGAGAGTGACTATGTACAGTGAACGCAACCCGCTGATGCATTCAATAATGAGAGATGTATTATATAAGACATGAGACATAGACTGTTGAGCGGAGTCATTTGTTTACCTTTCATGGACCTTGTGATGCAAATGATACAATAATGATAATGAATATAGTCAAACCATGTGTTTTCTCCGACCCCTATTCTTCTCCCAGACACACATCATGATGCAGGATATGCATTTTCGTTCCCAAACGAAAGGCCGCCGCCCCCAGCTAAAACTACATAACAGTGAACGCGCGACCCAACAGAAGAACGCCCCTCAGCACCGAAGCGGGTGAATCCCGTCGCCCCACCGGTCGGGCGACGCATGCGTGAGAGGAACTTCCACTGCGTCTCCGACTCCTTGCTCTGGACCAAACCCAACGCCACCGAGCGCCGTGCCACCTCGGCGGCCGTGCTGGGTGGCCGCCCCGGCAAGCTGGCTGTGGCCATGGAGCAGCCGGGCGGGTATGTGGAAGGTGTGGCCAGCAACGAGTTCGACATCGTCCCTTGGAGAGTCGTGAGGAGTGAATCAATCACGTAGTCATGGGGTGCCTAGAGTGAACTTTACGTGTTGCAGTGTTACTATTATATATATATATACATAAATTATGTATTATATATATATATATTATATATTATATATTATATATTATGTATATATATATATATTATAGGGTTCCCCCCAAAAAACATGCATTTGTGATGGGGAACATGATAATCCACTAAAATACTCTGCTTCCCATGTGCTCGTCTCGAACTGAGGCTTCCTCGTTTTCAATCATGAGTTCACTGGGATGTGAACCATCACAGATGAACACCCCCAATGTGAGCGTTCTGCATGTGAACAACCATTAATGTCTTGTTTTGAGTTTCACATCCCACTTGGAGACAGATTCTCCCCTCAAACCATGTTCCTATCTCAAGATGTGACTTTGTTTGGATTGATGATTGATGTTCCTCTCTTGCTGCTGCCTACAGCCACCTCCCGACCCGACCCGTCCCGTCCGCGATCGCAGGTTTACTTCGAAGTGGCGGACGCCACGCCAGAGGGCATCGTGCAGAAGAGCGTGCTCCGGAAGCACGTGGCGGAGGTCTCCGCCATGAAGTTCTCGCCGTCGGGGGAGTTCTTGGCCTCAGGCGGAGATGAGAGCGGAAGCTGTGGAAAGAAGGAAGACTGGGAAGAAGACAGAAGTAGGAGGGATTTCAGTGGATGTATTTGTAGCCCAGAATAGATCCAGAACATGTTTTTTCAGTTCGTGTTTTGCAGTCCAGTTGTGTCTTTTCAGATTTTTTTGGGATCGTAGAATCATAGGTCATTGATCTAGAGGGAAGCACCCGCCGAACAAGCAGGTCGGTTTTTTACGTCCTTTGTAGACTAGGAACTGGTTCCACGCGAGCGGACCAAATGGTAAGGGTTGGTGTTGAATTTCCACGGACCTGGCAGGCTCCCAGCAGTTGTTTTGGCAGACCCCCAACACCTTCGTGCGCATGACCGCACGAGACCATCCTTGTGGCGAGTCACCTTGAATTTGAGGGTTCACTACAGACAAATATGTCCAAATATACGTCGATATATATATATATATACATACCTTGAACCCAATTGACCCCTTCCTTGATAGGAAAAGATCATATTTTGGGTGGTTGGTGGTCCAAAATAGAGGTCCTTCAGGTTCTGGGTATGTATACTTGTAGCTGGTTCTTCGGAGGTGATGCTGCCAACAAGATCCTGGTGTGGTCCCTGAGCACGGGCACTCCGACACTTCTCCTGTCGGACTGGAGCTTCCACACAGCCCGGATTGCGTGTCTTGATTGGCTACCAGGAGCCCTGGTGCTTTGGTGCTTGGAGACATGTCAGAGTCCATGGAGTATGTGGTAGGTGATCTTTGCCTGTGGTAGGCTTTTGCGGTGGATGCGCATTGCTTTTTGTCACAGCCTGCAGTTATCACGATCGTCAGATGTCAGCGGGTAGGTCTCAGTTGGGGAGTTGGATTGGAGGATGTATGTATGTGTTTTAATTTATATACTCTGATGTGAGCAGAGAATTCGATCGTTTGAAGACTGATGGAAGTGTTACAGTACTTAGCAAGAAACTCGGGAAGTTTAGATTCAATGATTATCTCTCATGTTTCGGGAAGTCTGTATCAGATTGATGAATGTGCTATCAGTATTCTGCCTCGAACATCTCGGCTGTGTGATTGATACAAAACAAGGTTCGCTTGCAGGTCACAGTGTGAAGCATCAAACAGAGAAGCACCAACAGTGGAAGCTGCGGAAGCCTCTCCGAACTCACAAAGTAGGTGGTTTGACGCTCGAAACCAACGGTATGGATCCTGCGAACAGACGCGTGTTCGCGACGAAGAACAAGGCCGCTCCCGTCCGCTGTCGCTGTCACCGCTCGTAGTGTTTGGGCCTCATGAGACGGTTTGGTTCTACGTCGCAGGCGCCACGCATCAGTAGCATTGAACCGCCCGCAGAGAGGGATCGGGTACCACGACCTCACCAGGCCCATGGCCGACCTCCGGGGGCACCTGCACTGCTCACGTGACTGCTCCCAGGAGGTCGACGCTTAGTGAGCGGCTCCCTGGACCGTCATTTGTTTGTCTGGGACGTCGACCACCCTGAGAAGCGTCTTCAAGTGAAGGATGCCCATAAAGGCGGGTATGGGCCGAAGCCATGGTTCATCCGAAGTGGAATGAATCCTTTGGACCGTTCGGTGAAGAGCCTGTGAGATGTCGCCTGTGTAGCCACTGAAAAAAGAGTGAACAAAAGGGTCTGCTTTCCGGCTTTCCTCAGCTGATTTCACCAGTTGCAGGTGGCGTCACAGGCGTGGCGGCCTGCGGGGAAACCAGCTTTGCCTCCGTGGGCCACGATGGATTTGTACTGGTGCACGTCGGCTGAGCAGCGGCTTGGCTACTTGGCTGGCGTGCGAGGTGGACAGCCACTGTGGATCCTCCAGTGGAGCGAGTTCGTTTGAAAAGCGCAAGGAGGGCGATGTTTTCCGAAGATCACGGCACTCTCTGGACCGAAGATCACGCTCATGAAAGCACGTCAGTCGATGCGTTCGATGGGTCGATCTTGGGCTCAAGCTTGAGGTTCGACCCAGCTGAAGAAGACAAGGAGTGCTTTTGTTGGGCCCAAGAAACAAAGATATCTGAGGTCTCCCAACGCTGTGGCAGTCGTCCTCAGAAGTCAGTCCATCGGACCATCGATGTTTTCAGAGACCTGATGTCACCAGTGACCTGAAGGTTGCAAACAGGCCCAAAGTATATATCAATAAGGATCATAGGCATTGAGCAAAATGGGCACCCGGGCAAACATGACGCCTGAATCCATAGCAGACTAGTGCATGGTCAGTTTCTGCTGATCTTCACCAGCTTCACCTGGCTTTCCGGCCGAAAATTGCAGATCACCTATAGAAAGACACGCTGACATCGGGGGTCCCCAAAAACCGCTGCCCTCGACTGCGCTGCCGTGGGCCATGGCTGGTGCCAGGGAGCTCAGTTGGGGCCGATGTGTCGCCTCGATGAGGATTTCTTTGTGTGAAGGTGGGTCAGATGGTCTAAACCACGAGGTGTTGCAGTACATGTGGGTGCTGAACCTTGGATACTTGGGATGGAAGAATCCCATGCCTTCGGTTTTGAATGGAGTGTTGAGAGGTGACGCACCTCCCAGTCTCTCGCAGTCAGGGATCCAAGGTGACCGTCTCCACTGTTAGGTGACCGTCTTCCTAACAGTGAAACATGATTCCCTCAGCTTTTCCTCCACAAGGGAGGTCATTCTAGTAAAACCATTCAGTGCATCGCTTGCACTGCCTTTCTCTTGTACCCCCGTCTACTTGATCCATTCGATCGCAGCGTCTTCTTTTCACCTCCCTCGTCCGCTGTCTGCTCACTGAGCTGGGCGCGCCATGTGCCGAGCAGCTGAGGTTTGGAATGCCGATGGCTCCTATGAGTTTGCTCCCGGAGAGCGTGCCAGACTGAAAGGCGCCGAGTGGAAGAAACCCCTGGGGCGAAGCAGAGTCTCTGGACTGGACGTGATTCTTTGCCTCTCCGAAGGTCTGTATGATAGATCTAGCGGCCATGACCCGAAATCAGCAGACCTGAGATCGTTGGGAGACCTTGAGCTGCTTGCTGGCAGGAAAAGAAAAAGCTCAGAAGGGCAAGGAGAAGGGAAAAGGAAAAGGCGAGAAAGGCTTCGACAAGGGCAAAGGCAAAGGCAAAGAAAAGGGCAAAGACAAGGGCAAGGACCGGAGCCCCATCCAGTCTTTGGCACTTTGGGCGATGAGATAGCGACCAGACATGAACTGGAGCCATTAGTGGCATTCCTAATTTTTCATGCAGCTGGCATTGCTTACTTATTTATCTTTGATTGACATTCTTTGACTATTCCAGACTGTTTTTCTGTATAAGTCTTTCTGAGTTTTGTGCTCTGCAACAATTGACAATTATCTGACTCTAACACGTCCACACACTCAACTGTTCGGACACTAAAATGGCAACAGAACTTTTAACAAGGGATCCTATCAAAAAAAGCTGTTTGGGTATAAACTAGAGGACTTGCAAGTCCCAGCTTGTGCTCTTTTACAACATCAACCTCTGCTTTCAACTCCCGGAATGCCTCAGCGACCTTCCATTCAGAGCTTCCCACTCAAGCCCCATTCAAGCCCCAAATCCTCCTTCTTCGTCTGGCTCTCCCTACTGACGCCGCAGCTACTGTTGCCCTATGCAGGAGGTGATGTTGATGACGGCCGCCGAGCGCCTGGCCTTCGCCCAGGGCGCTTTGTCCGCCCGGGACCCTGTCGGCGGTCGGTGAGTCGAGTCTTTCGCGCGGCATCACGACATGGGGCGTCGGGTTGTGGTAGAAGTATGTAGAAGTGATCTATGGGTTCGATTTGGGGAGTTCATCAAGGCTGTGTGAAACTGGTTCCTTTGGCCAATGCGACTTCCAAAGCCCCTCCTGACCACCTGACCCGACCAAGACCGATGGCCCTGCGGCCAAGAAGCCTCGCTTGGGCGAGTCGGGGCAGTCAGTGGTGAGGGGGTTGGGTTTGGAGTTTTCTTTTTTCGTATACTGTAGTATCTGTAGTGGTTTCTTAGATCACTTTTTTCCCAAGAGAATCAGGTGGATGGCTCCTCAGGCCGATTTTTCCTATTTTCTAGATGAACATGATGTGAACGTTCTTCCTTCTTGTAGATAGGATGTTGATTCTTGGGTTCGTGCCATTTCTTGTAGGCCGAAGGAGGCGCTCTCTCTCTCGAGGTGGCAGCACCAGGGGTGTCCGTCATCCATCTGGAAACGATCAGAGTGTGTTTCACCATCTTGCCGTAAAGATATAGTAGCGATGCCCTTTGCTCCTAGTAGCGATGCCAGGAGCCCCTAGTAGCTTCTTGCTCCTAGTAGTAACCCTACAAAAGGTTTTGATCGATTTCACATTAGACTGGCACACTAGCAGTTGAGGCCTGGTGAGGAGGAAGAGGAAGAAGAGCTTCCAGAATTTGACTTCGAGAAGGACCCTTACTCTCTGGCTTAGGGGAATGACGCACCTTGCCTTACCTCGATTCTGCACATGCAAACCACTGAGACAGACTTTGACACATGCAGCCAAGACACATGTGGCAGGTCGCACATGGTCAAACTAGATCAAACTAGATAACTTACCTTTTGAACTTCCTGGCAGGACTGGAAAACTAGATAACTTCTGAAACATTCTGAACCTAGATAGCTTGCCATTTGAACCAGATCACCTCTGAAGACTGCCAGGACTGGAAGGACAAGCCTGTGGCCCTCCTGAACTTGAAGGAGTGTTTCACGAACGACCGGACCATTCATCGGCACCCGCCTTTTGCACATGGATCGGTGGAACATCGACAGGTGCACCACTTCCGATCCGGATTATGATATAGTACTATATTAGGTCTTTATATGATACTATAGTACTATCTGATACTATCTTGTTCCGATCTTATCTCTGAACATATGATTCGCTATATATACAGTACTTGTCGGACTCTCTTCCGAACCGACAGGGACGCCCTCGACCCACGCCCTCGACCGCCGCTCGGACCGTCAGACGTCCAGGGAGCCAAGGAGCTCAATGGGCTCATGGCGACCGTCAAGGAGTCCGGGTAGCTCAGGGACAAAGCCCCAGGGGGAGACCGGCTTTGGGCTGTTTGGAGACCGGCTTGATTTCATTTTAAGTGATGTTTTTGGTTCTATTTTTCTCGAAGCACAGGTCAACTTGATCCAAGAGATTCCAAGAGTGTGTTTTGTTTTGTTTGTTTTTACATTTTCTTCACATTTCAATTGTTTTGGTGAGTTCTGTGTTTTGCAACTTGGATTGTTCATGATACTTTACATGGCTTTTGACATCCAGCAAGTGAGTCGAGGATTGAAGATGAAACAATCCACAAACCAAAAGGAACTCGATTTGTTTATTGCATCAGCTTCAGCTTGTAACCTCACGAGTGAGAATTACAAGAACTTCATCTTATTTCTTGCAAGCTCCCTGGCCCTACAGTTGGATGATCTATTCGTTCCATTGGTCAGCTCTTGCACCCCTAATGTCAGGTACAACGAGGATACCAAACGCTTCTTGGTGACCGTGGAGGCAGTGGACCGAGGGAAGGACAACGGCGGCCCCCGCGCGCACCGGAACTCGCGAAGTCGGGCAAGCTTTTTGATGCCTGTGGGTCTTCTGAAGAAGGTCGGAGCAACCAGGTGGCGCCCCCGAAATCTGGTCTGCGGTCTTGGTGGCAAGTAGCATGGTTCCCTTGGATTGGCAGCGGAAGAAAAGACGATCCATGCCGACATCCGGGGACCATGCTTGGGCCTGGAGTCCAAGATCCCAAGAAGGATGCGTGAAACATTAGTGAATGCATTCTTAACCTAATAGGAATGGCCTCCAAAAAAGAATGGCGATGGCCTCCAACCTGATAGCGCTTTTGGATCTTTACTCATTTCACGCCGTTCTGAGGAAGATATTTCTTTTGCTCAAGCTTTCAGCAAAGCCCGTGATCGTCTCTGAAGGAAAGGCATGAGCGAAACATTCGATGTCACTCACCGCCGGGCTGGAGTGAACTCCAGCTCAGTCCGGGGGCGCCGGTGGCTGGCTGGATGGCTGGATGGCTTGTTGCTTTCTCACGTTGTGCACACGAGCATGGCCCGCATCGGGGTCCGGCATGGCAGGGTGGCAAAGGCGACAAGAGTATCAAGATGGAGAACCTCTTCAAGGCCCCACGGTCCGCGAACGGCCGGACGAGTGAAGCGCGCGCGATGTCGCTCGGCCGCGAAGCGCTCTGGCCATGGCTGTTGGACTGCAAGGAACAAGAGATGGGAAGGAACAAGAGCCTGAAAAGCGCACCGCGTCGGAAGATGGGGGAGTTTGGGATCTGACTAAGAGATGGGGCATGAAGGGATTAGGATCCTTGACTAGGAGGTCCCTCCAAATTGCCAGGAGTATGCGGGAGTCTTTCTTGGGAAGAAGATGAAGAAGAGCCATTGGTGAAAATGGGCTCCTTCTTCTGTCACGAACGACCTTCGTTTCACGACGAACAGAGCCCGACCGTCGGTCACGCGCCCCCGAACTCGCCAGGTGATGACGGGCTGCATCGTGAAGCTGCGCGGGCTCGACTCCATCGAACTCAATGACCGCCGCGGGGGTCTTCGGGACGCAGCGCCGGCTTCGGGCAGACGTCGGCCACGGTGGACCGAAAGCGTAAAGGGGTCGTTGGTAGGGCGAAGAGGTCATTGGATGAATGTGGGGAAGCATGGGCATGTGCTGAAACATATTGAAGCAGATTCCTGATTGTAGAACCAAAGCCTGAGCTGATTGCTTCAGCCACTGCGTTGGTCATGTCAGCGTTTCCAGGCCACTCAAACATCCTCAAACGCTCCAACCTAAGAAAAAACGTGTCGTTTGAAGCGTCTGTTGTTTCCCTCACAGACAGCTGTCTCTGGATGATCATGGTCAAGGTTGCTGCTCAATGGAAGGTGACTACAGGGTGCATTCGGTGAAGATGCGGACATAGGAGAACCATAGGAGAACCATAGGAGAACCAAGCAGGCACTCGGGGCCCCCTGGCCGGGCTGGGCCGTAGAAACCAGAAGGAACCACAAGGAACCCCAAGGCCATGGCGCTTTCTATTTTTTTGGGAAAAGCGAAGGGCTGGCCGCCACCACCATTCACCACCTTTCGACTCCGCGTTTACGCGCCGCCTGGCCGTCGCGCTGGAGGACTGCATTGGCGAGTGCGGTCGCTTGGACGTGTGGTGCTGAGCTGGATATATAGATTGGAAGAGACTGTTCTGGCGTCCCTGTTGAAAAAGGTACTCTTGGATACTCTTGAGTCAGAACAGTGGGAGGTCGTGGTCGCTTTACTCGTAAGCTCCACTCCTGCGGTCAGGAAGTCTTTCCTGCTCTTGACACCGCCCTTCTTGGGCGCTCCTGCCTTCCTGCCTTGCTCCGACTCGACTTTGCTGCCTCCGACTCCGATCCCGGGGGATCGCAGTCGGAGCTTCCAAGCCGTGTGTGGTTCGGGAAGTCTTCAAACAACAGACCAAGCTGATCAAGTTATCACTGGATAGATCTGGACAGGTTTTGCAGAACAATCCGTTAGTGAGCACTGTTCTCCTCAGTTGGTTGGGTCTGGAAGGACATTGGTCACCAAGTCCTTTGGGCGAAGGCTTCTGGTTGCCGTGGCCTCGTTCGATATGCCAGCGACACCCAGCTCTGCCTGCTTCTCACAAGGTCGAGAACCTGAGATATGACATCACCCTGTCTGACGGTGCGCAGCTGCGCAGCGCGCGAGTCAATCGCCGCATCTTTCACGGGCCAATCTACGGAGGTGTTGTTAGTAGGGTTCCAGGAGACACTTGGTTTGTGCGGAGGTGTACGGACTTGAAGTCCTGTCTTCAGATGGTCTGGTACCAGCTACAGCTTCAGGTGCCCCAGTCTGCCCACGATAGGTACAAGTGCCCGATCTAAAACGGACGAGCTTTCGTTTTAGGGTTGCAAGTGGCATACTGCATACTGCTTCTTTACAGTGGAAAGCGTGTGAAACCACATGCGTCGACGGCCCTAACAGAGAACTGCAAGTCCGAACGCATGATCAGCTCCCCGCTGTCCTTTTCCTCATAATCATCCATAGGGGGTCTCTCCACCGGCCCTTGCACATCTTATTTTTTCTCATTCGCACTGGCACTGGCAACTGTGGCATCGTTCACGATGCCTTTGCTGGCCTTTAAGTTGGATTTCTTCACCCCAGCTCTCTAAGCTTTGGCCTCGAAGCTGGTCACTTCGTTCCCCGCGGACGTGGCGCCGGGTTCCGGTGGGAACCGGACCCGTTCTCGGGCACCGAATGGGCGCTGTGCCCAGGACGACACGTGAAGGCGAAGCCGGCGAACGTGGAGCTGGTGGCCAAGTACGAGTCCTCCAAGGCGGGTGGCACTGGGGGGGGGGGAAGGTTTGGCACTGGGGGCGTGGTCTGCCTGCCTGATCGAACACCTCCAAGGTCTCGGGCGATGCCGTGCAGATGGAGCGGATCCGAAGCGCCAACGGCCTTCGAGCCAGAAGCTGAGCTCGTCTGCGGCGAAGTCTGGGCGGTCGGCGGTCAGTGGGTTTTGATCAACAAGAACTGCAATGTTCGATCATCGTTCTGATAGTGGGGATGGGTAAGGACCATGTTTGGGTTTGGGGAGGAGCATTGAGCATTTGTGTAGATGCTAGTTTTGCTTGGTCAAGGGGCACAGGTTTTGAATCATAGGCTCAGATTGGCGTTCTAAACATCTCTTTGATGGTCCGCGACAGAAATTCCAATCACGAAACCACTGGTTGATGCAGGAACGAGATCCCTTCTTTTTTCCTAGGGTGGGGGATGCTTAGTTCGATGTTGCAAAAAAATGTTCGAAGCCTGAGGAGTGCAGGCTGTGCCACTGACTTTTTCTTTCGGACGCCAACTTTGGGGGATGAGTGGTCGTTCTTCCATTCAGTTCATGGGCTCAACGTCTACTCTTCAAGGCAGGCTTCTGCCTGAAGCGTATCCGGCATGACTTGTCAAAGACCCCACTGCAAGATACTGAGTTTGCAGGGTGGTCTTCACACTACAACGCTTCCAACCGATGAGAAAATGGCCTCCGCGCGAGCTTGGCTCGCATCCAGCACCACAAACTCCTCACATCAAGCCAGTTGAGGACCGTTTGGTGGCGGTGGAGGAGTTCGACTTCCCACCCCCCATCGTAGGGGCCCACAGGGACATGACGGGACGCTGGCTTCAGCCCAAGATGAAGAGACTCCCTGCAGCCGGTGGTCCACATACACTCCGTGGAACTCTCATGGTTACGTGGATGCCATGGCCCCGAAAGGAAGACCATGAAATCCTCTACAAACAGGTGGTGCCATCCACTTCCATGTTAGTTCCAGGGAGTGTAAATGTGTAATTTATATAGTATGATCCATCGTGTGGGAGTTTAGATTTTGCTTCACATAGATTAGATCGATTTTCTTCCTCGCACACCATGTTCAAGGAGGCAGACTGGGTTCTATTTCTTCCCGGGCTTGCATCCGGAACATGCGGGGGGCACGCCTGCACTGGTACCGGGGCAAGCCTTTGGAATCGATTCGACAGATTCACGCGGATTCACGACGTGATTCCACGAGTCCACGACGTTTCGTTCGCAGACCTGAATGCCCAGAAAGACTGGGGTCGGTGAGAGGATGGTTTCTCTGTGGCTGAGAGGTAGAGTACGCAGAGTACGAGCATCCACGAAAATCGCATCAAAGAGGATCCCGCAGCAGGCTTGACCCAGCGGTGCAATTGGTGAGCCGGACGACGGTCGGCCCCGAAAGACCTCCGGAACCCGGCGAAAAGCATCGTCCGCCGGCCAAGGTGCTGCCAGCAAGTGCTTTGGAGGACTCTGATTGATGTGAGCAAGTCATCAGTCATCATGACCTAGTTCAAGCCAACCTGCGGCTTTGCTGGATGTCATTCCTCAATCTGCAAAACACACGAACCGAGTGGGTGAAGAACTCCAATGGGATGTTCGGCATGTTCTTCAATCCACACGAGATATGAACAAAGTCGACACCGTGTCGACATGGTTCACTTCAGAGAATCCGAGCTTGATAGGCCCCATATCCAGGCATGGATGACCAGGGCTTGGATGACCAGGTCCTGGGATTTATGTCCATTTGGTCTGCTGACTTGGGGCTTTCTTCCTTGGAGTCATAGCCAGCCTGACCGGTTCCTCCTTGGTGCTATGGGAGGCTTTATCAGATGCCGTGGTCCTTTCGCACAGGACTATGGGAAGAAGTTTCCGAAGTCCGCCTGGGGCCCCTAGGGCCCGCCAGGTCTCTTTCGAGGGCACCGGGCACCATGTTCATAAGGAACACGCGTGATCCATGGCTGTTCATCCATGAGTTCTCAGAAATGGCCACTTTGCAGTAGACATGTAGCACGGTAAGTGCTCTCGAACGACCTCACCCTTGCTTCAGCTGGCAGACATTGGGGTTCCCGCAGGAATCTTGCAGAAACGAATGTTCTGCAATGGAGAAACTCGCATGGTGTTGGGGTGCTTCTGGGCTTGTCATCTTTTTTGTGGAGCTCACAGTAAGTGTGGACCAGGTTCACAGAGGATCTTCAGCATGCGCGGGGTTCGTTTTCCCTGTGACGGGTCCACAGCCTCCCGCGAGTGATGCCCAAGACAAACTACTAAGGACCACCAAATACACATAGTAGCTTCGAAAAAGGCAAGGGGCCATCTTGGACATTCTCCTGCACCGGCTAAATCAAAAAGGAAGTTCTCGTTTCCTCCAGGCCGTCACCAATGAGGTCCCATGTCTTTGTAAAGACTTGTATTGCCTTTTTTTGTCGCCCCTGTCAGGTGGTAGACTCCCTCCCCTTTGCAGCAAGCACACCACAATAACCGGCGGAGGGGACGGAGAGATCGGCGCTTGGAACGCACCGAAACAGGTGGTCATTGGCCGCGCGAACGCCGCGAACCCCAAGGGCGCGCAGATGTTGGCGCGTGAGGTGGGTGGGCACGCCGTCGCAAATGAAGAGAGACATTGTTTACCCAGCACTTGCAATGGGTGTCAATGGAGACCTTTGAGTAGGTGTGGAGGACCTTGTACCACTCAGGTGACCCCGAACGGAAGGCAGCTGGTATGTCAAGATGCGACTGTTCGCACCGTGAAACGGGGTGGCTGCTTCGCTCGGCCTTTGATCTGAGGGTCGGCCTTTGGCTCGTCTTTTGTGTCTTTTTTGTGACGCTGTTCTCTTTCATTTTTCTACAGATTTCAGAGTACATGGACAATTCTCTAGACTCTTCTTAGACCCTTCTTAGATGGTGCTTCCCCCTCAAGCACAGAAGAGGCCCCTGCCAGGTGGTGAGTGCCACCAAGATTTCGCCGGGCTCAAGGCTGGTCTTCATCTCAATGCCTCGTGACAGGCGCGGTGTATGGACATCCGGACTCTGACTCTGTCCGAGCGACCGATGTCCGCAGATGTCTCCGGCAGCAGGGGCAGCCAAGGGCGGCCACGGGAAAGCAACATGGTTTTGCACTTCTTCTCCCCTTACAGTACAGGGTCTTCTGACCGGGTCAGGTACGGTCAGAAACCTCACTTGTTGTTGCTTTCAGTCTGAGTTGCTCGGCTCTGCCAAGCATGATGAGTTCCCCCCCACGCGCCACGGCTTGGCTCCGAGCGCTGCGCTTGGCTCCTTGCGTCAGGTGTGTGGCACCCGCATTGGCCCGGGACGAAGTAAGAAGAGACCAGGAAACTCCACGGTCGTTTTTCACGAGTGTCGATGAAGACAAGGTCACGGAAAGAAGTGATGTAGAATTGATGAGACTTCTTAGATATTTCAACGTTCAACCATGTCTACTAGAGGTTGTAGAATCGGTGGATGGAACGCTTTCAGTGGATCACTGCCTGTAGAGTGCCACACTGGATCACCGGGTCAACGGGTCGAGAGCCTTGGTTTGACGGGTCCACGGAACAGAAGTTTGCCACATGCAGGCCTTAGGCAAACTTGGGGAAGTCCCTGTTCGCCTTCTGAAAGCAACTTTGGAAGAACTCCAGTTCAGTAGAAACCATGAAGATCATGAAGCATGTTGGGATAACAAGGTCTTCGTCGGAATCTGCATGGCAGTTGAAACGATCGAGAGCTCCCCCACAAGTATGTCAAGTATGTAGGATCCTAGACCAAATAGCCAGAGCTGTGTGGTTGCAGCTGAGAAGTTCGAAGTTCGAGCCGAAAGAAAGGATTCTCGGCCATGACTGCGGGAAGCACTGTCAGTTCTGCATCAGCACCTTGGCCATAAGTGAATTCTTTTTCAAGCGACAGAGGAAGGACATGGAAGGACCGGATTTATTGAATGACAACTGGGAGGGAACAGCAACAGCCTGATGTTGAAAGAATTCTTCGCCAGAATGGATGTGGCTCACAACGAAAGACCCCCAACCCACAACGGGGCGGCGGTGACCATGTCGACGTGTTGCGATGGGATCTCTGCACGTGTTCTCGAGCGTTTCAAGCAAAAGGCCAATGAAAATCGGAAGACATTGCTTGCTTGCCATGAACCTACCGACCACTCTCCGTGCTCATGTCACCCGTCACCAGGTAGAGGATGGCCGTGCAGGCTTTGGGCCGCCGATGACGGGCCTGGTGCCGCTCTTCACGGTGGGGACGGGAGGATGGAGAGAAGACTTGCTGGAGAAGGAGGGTAGTCATCTCATCTAACTTCCATCGCGCCAAAGGGTGTTAGGAGAGTGATCGAAATCGAATTATTTAGATATCTTCAGGCCACAAATGAGATGGGAGTTTCAGTTTGGTTTCACCAGCATCCCTTTTCAATCCCGAACCTCAAGGCCCTTGACACACACACACACACACACTCTCTCTCTCTCTCTCACTCACTCACTCACTCAATCAATCAATCAATCAATCAATCATTCAATCAATCATTCAATCAATCAATCAATCAATCAATCAATCATTCAATCAATCATTCAATCAATCAATCAATCAATCAATCATTCAATCAATCACACTCACACATCCTCCAGCTCCCCCAATCATCGACTTCGCTCTTCCAAAACAACGCGGTCCACCGCGACACCCACGACACCCGCGAGGGCCGGTCGTTCGCAACGGCCAGATGTTGGGTTTTTTGACCCTGGCGGCCTGGAACTTCTACTTGACCGCCGTGGGCTTCTTTGCCTTGTGGTTTCCCGGGTACCAGTGGGCCTTCGTCGCCTCCATGACCTACCAGGTGTGGGGGTCTTTCCACAGCCGGTGGTCCAGTCCATTTGATCCATTGGCCTCCGTTGCGTGTCTAGAGATCATATGCATAATGCATCATAATGCTTGAAAACGCGGACACCGACCACAGTTGGCCACATCCGGCAACTGGTTAGAGGCAAGTTAGACCCAAAGCTCGTCGTGACTTCTCTGCAGGTTCAAGATACGTATACGTACCCATTTGGAGACGACACCTTGAGAGGTTAAGAGACAATGTACCTTGGTGGTTTTTGAGGGCCTTAAAAGCTTGTGCCCGGACCTTCCGTTGGGGATGTCCTGGCTGGAGATTCCCAAGACTCTGTAGGACTCTGTAGGGGGCTTCGGAAGCCATGGTGACCCCCCAAAGGTGCCGTGCATCTCCGTGTGATCTCGTGCGATGCATGCCGCGGCACGCGCGTGCCGCGCTGGACGCAGGCGATGAATGTGCTGGGGACCTCGACGATGGTGAAGGTGGGACAGAAGGTGCGACACCGAGGGTGCTTTCTTAAAATGAGCAAGTGGGAGCAAGCCCATCCTTCCAAGTGACAATCTCGTCCAAGTTCCATCTCCATTTGCTTGGGATGTTACAGGTGTTTGTCATTTCATTTAAAGTCCCCGTTTCAGTTGGCCAGCGGCCCTTTTCTTCCTTTGAGGTGCCCTTCCGCGCGGCCTACCTCACGTCCTTGACCATCCAGATGGTGATGATTCTAATGATGCCCATGTTGGCCTTCTGGTCCCCCAAGGAGGTGCCCATGTCGGGCGCTCCGCGCGCTGGGGCGCTGGGAACCGGTCGAGGCTTGGAACGCCCTTGCTCCGTTCGTAGCGATGCCAGGAGCCCCGATCGTAGCTTCTTGTTACTAATAGCAAGGCCCGGAGCCCCTAGTAGTGTCCTTGCTATGCTTGGCTGCTGCCACTGGGTTTTTAGGTTTTGAAGGTCATGAAAGAGATTTCACTTCAAAGGGCACCTGGGGTTCTTTTTGTTTTCCTCACGTGAAGCACTGGGGTTTTCCAAGTCGCTACTTTGCCATGCAGATCGCTGGTTGACTGATCATCCCTCAAAGATTTTCTTTGACACTGCTTTTCTGATTCTTTTGGAGGCCAAACTCTAGGGTATGGACTGCCTATTGGTCCCAAGCCCTCCCAAATTGACCGCCAGGGCATGAAACCGTGAATCCCAAGGTCAGTGTCTATTTGATGCCTTAGGATTTCTTTCATAGCCGGTCTGCGCCGCCAATCTCGCCGCCAAACCAATCTGGTGGTCGAGACCGTGGTCAGGTCAGTTAAGAGGTACACTTTCTCTGATGTCCAGTCATTTGCCTTCCATCCATTGAACACTGAGGTTGCACTGGCATTGAGCTTGGCATCCGGGTATCCTTCAGCCCGAGACTGCAGTTAGCCCCTTGTGACCTTTCAGGTCTTCCTTTTACTGCTTGCATCCATTCGTTCGTCCCTGCCGTGCATGTGCTATGCCCTTTCGTACGACTGCCGCTGCTTCGCTTCACTTGCAGGTGATGGTTAGGTTGGGACGTCGCTGGCCGTCGATTTGACTTGGTAGCGGAGCTACGGCTCTTGCTCCTTGCTGCATCTTCATCCTTGGATTCTTCTTCTCGCCAAGTAGTGTTGAGGCAGCAACCAAGAATGTGCTCTGCAGTGTTGGCGTGTCGCATGCAATGTTTGCAAGCTTCGCCTTTACAGCTGACATGTTCACAACAGACACCACGTCTCTGGCTACTTCCACGGAGGTCCTTACAACACACAGCATTACTCTGGCCACGACGACGACAGCAAATGAGGACCATAACAAGGAGGTGCAACCTTCACTAAAGTCCTCACCCTTGACCACTTCCATGGTGGCCAAGTCCGATGACTTTCAGGCTGTTGACAACCCAACGCTGTTGACCACTATCAGCACCAGGCTGGCTGATTCGACCACCCTTACAAAAGATGTTGACAAGCTAGCAGAACTGATCCAAACGGCTTGGTTGAAGTCACGGACTGATGATGAAAGTGGGGCTGAACTGAGCAGCTGCAGCAGGTGTTGCAGATGGACCTGCGAGCTAGTCAGTTGCCCTGTGCACTTGCGTGCCTCGGGACTGATGGTAGAAGACTTTGAAGACGAAGCAGATGTCACATCGTTGTTCGAGCCCGCAGTCACAATATTTGAGCCCAATGACGAAGAGGTCAAGAAGATAAATCCACTTCATGATCCGCTTTTTTGTTTGAAGGCACTCACACAGCATCAGCGCCCATGATGGGCCTGAAACGGAGCCACTTCCGTGTGTGGACCGTGAATGTTTCGGATAGCCATGCAAATGAACAAGTGCAATAAACTCCCTCTGCTGTTAGCGCTTCAGCTGGTATATGCAGACCCAGAACAGCTGAGATCCATGACAAATCCAGTTCGTCAGTTGTCGCGTGAAGTGCGTAGAGTGGCATGGTCACTAAGGCATCGTTTGCATTTGTTCTTCGTGTTGCTTGGCTGGAGGTTTTTTGATTCTTGCATCAGTTAAAGGAATGGATGCGCACAGATTCAACCAAGGTCCAGGACCACGATAGAATTTCACTCACGACATTGGTGTGTATGAGAACTCACGCAGCTACTTTGATGTTGTCAAGCGGTCTAATGCCACTGACGTTGATGTTGAGCGGCAGGCCCCAACAATAGCCATCATGGTGATCACGGGCATGGCTCGCGACTTCGTTCGCGTCACAGCAGCTGCGAGGTGGTGTGTGGGAAAATGGGCAGCGAGAGCAATAATGGCTGAACTCATGGGCTTTTGTCGCCGGCCCAATGAACCCGTTGTTTTTTCCCCAGATAGCGAAGCTATAGGGGTTCTTACTTCTCAATGGATAGCGAAGCTATAGGGGTTCTTACTTCTCAATGGATGGGTTCCTGATTGCGGAAATTGGCTGCCGCTGCCGCTGCCGCCTTGTTGCCCAAGCTTGTCTCCCTTCATGATTTCGCTCGTGGCTGCCGCTGCCGCCTTGTCTGTGAAGCTTGTCTCCCTTCATGATTTCGCTTTTGGCTGCCGCTGCCGCCTTGTCTCCCAAGCTTGTCTCCCTTCATGATTTCGCTCTTGGCTGCCGCTGCCGCCTTGTCTGTGAAGCTTGTCTCCCTTCATGATTTCGCTCTTGGCTGCCGCTGCCGCCTTGTCTCCCAAGCTTGTCTCCCTGCATGATTTCGCTTTTGGCTGCTGCTGCCGCCTTGTCTCCCAAGCTTGTCTCCCTTCATGATTTCGCTTTTGGCTGCCGCTGCTGCCTTGTCTGTGAAGCTTGTCTCCCTTCATGATTTCGCTCTTGGCTGCCGCTGCCGCCTTGTCGCTACATACCACTACGCCCCCACATTCGAGCACCGATTATGGAGGTATGCCCTTTGTAGGTGTGACTAACCAGCATGTCTGAGAGTCCGCAACCAGTCGTGCTGATGTGTCCAGCTTTGCCGCTACGCAGTTGACTGAAGAAGAGCAGCAATGCTCCCGTTGCGCCGTGTTCTACATGGATGACGAGTTCTCATCAGACGACGGTGAGGGAGATGCAGAACCAGTGATGATGAAAACAACCAAGCTTGTGGTTTGTATGGGGCTTACCTCACAGCAAAGCGTAGATGGCGGAGGTTTTCTGGCGACCACCCCGAAGATACCGCCGAAATCATCGCAACAAGTTTCATCGGCGTTCCAACCAACATAGGCTTCAGAGGTATGGCGTCCTTCCTGCCTCCTTTAATGCATTCGCTGTGCATCGTGGACCTGGTACATCACTAGGCGACGGTAAGTCCACATCTCGAGAATCCACGTGGCCGTGATGGCAAACCGTTGCAGTACCATCGGTATGGGGCCACGGATCACTAATTAAGCGTTGCCCTCAGCCTGACACCGGCAACCCAACGACAAGTACAGCAGCAATGATGACATCCATAGAAACAGCCAACTTGCAGTTCTCTTCACAAGCAGGTGCTGCGCCCTCAGACCCTGTGACGCACCGCCAGTTCGTCCCTGTCCAGTGGCTCAGTTGAAAGAGGACTGTTCGACGAGTTTGGAATCGCTGCGCAGTGCCGCGTCCAGTCACCTTTGTGTTGAGTGATTGAACCTGACGTTGAAGACAATCCGACGCCCCTGCTCCAAGTTCTCATGAAATGAATTTGAAGAGGACTCGGCAACATGAAACCAGTGAGTGGACGACAACCATCACCACTGGAACGCTGAACATTATGAGCACTGTTGTGAACAGTACTGTTGACCAAGCCACTGAACGTTTGTTGGCAGGTCTGATGGCGACTTCCGCCAAGACGGAAAAGTCGATTACTGATGATCAAGCAGTGTGAGCAGCCGGGCTGTTGTCTCCTCTCCAGACCGCAAGAAGGATGAGAAGCAGCTCCAAGCCAAGCAAGCCACGACATTGCAGTTGTCACAGTTGTAGCAAAATTTTTCGAAGCGCAGGTCGGATAGCTAATCAATCTAGTTCGTACCAGAAGGAACCGCCGGTTGCAACATCATCTAGCGCATGTTCAGAACCGCAAGAGTCTGGTGATGCAGATGCCTCTTACGGCGATATCCACGGTGGGAAGAAATGCAGCCATGTTAGCGGAGTTGGCAAGCGTTCTCAAGAAGCTTGGGTTCAGCTCGCAAATCAGTGCAGGTACACGTCGCCTGTGACTCCTGGAAGTCGACTTTTATTGCTGCTAGGCCTGAAGTCATTCAGAAAGGCTTTGATCGACACGCGCACACATGGTAAGTTGTTGGTCCTCCCTGGACCGGGTGGTGTTGAAAGCAAGTGCTCCCCAGGCACAATGGTCATGAAGTTGGAGTTGAGAGAAAGCGGACCTTTGATTTTGCCATAGCATCCGCCTGGCCAGATCTTGTGTTGCAAGAATGCAGATTTGTTGAATCTGTTTTCTTTTGTATATCCCACATACGCCTGTCCTGGTTGCACAGGACGTGTTCGTAGAGACAACCTCAGGCATACTCATGGCGAACCCCCATTGGCTTGGGATTGTGAAGAAGAATCGCAGCACCTTTCACAGCACAGCTTTACCCCCTAGACCTGATAGCGCTCGCAAACTTGACCAATTTGGCGATGACTGAGATTCTTGGTGGTGGAAGAACAGCCCTGGCGCAGATCCAGGAGGCTGGCGAAAATGCCTTGCAGACAGACCTGATCATCGATGCCAGATCTGCACTCAATGGTTCTGCTGCGGCAGATACCAAAAGTACAACTGACAAGCTAATGTTGGTTCACGCGCTCGAACTCAAGGAGATCTTGTCACTAAGGATAGCAAGTAGGTTGACCTGGATCGACGTGCGCGACATGTTGCGCGATGGTTTGAACAAAGGCTCAGGTTCGCGAGACGCCGTTCGTGCACGCAGCCTTCGTGGTGTATGGCAGACTGCGCATCCGATATATGTATGTTGAAGCAAGAAACTGCCAGCGTGGTGGTTGCAATCCTAATGGCATCTCAGAAGCCCTCTATGTTCATAACCTTGATGGCATATCAAAAGCTTTGTGTGACAGAGCAACTTGAGTTGGTTAAGATGTACACTTTCTCTGATGTCCGGTCATTTGCCTTCCACCCATTGAACGCTGAGGGTGCACTGGCCTTGAGCTTGGTGTCCGGATTTTGTTTGGCCCGAGACTGCGATTAGCCTTGTGACGTTTCAGTCGTTCGTCCGTGCCGCGCAGGTGTTTTGCCCTTTCGTGCGACCGCCGCTGCTACAACATGTTCTTTTTCTGTCCATACTCCCATGAAAAGCCCCCGCAAAATCTCGGAAGACGAAAGACAAGCGAAATAAAGACCGACGACCCCGGTCGCCAGGTTCATGGCGAGGAGGTCATCCCCTCGACCTGGGGCTTTGCGGCGGCTCTTTGTTGCTGCGCCGTGACCCGGTGAAAGTGCACCGTGTCACTGCCGTGTCACTGGGGAGTGCTTGCAGGGGGGCTTTGGACAGTTTGTGGATGTTGTGTGGCACTTTCCTGTGGTGATGATTGAACAGTTGCCAATGCTGAAGGTCGCAGGATAAACGTTTGCACAGGTTTGGGTCCAAACCAGGTTCTTGCCCCAGTCTTGGTTCCGCCATCATCCGATGGGGCAGTCACTGTTTTGCCGCCAAAATCATCCTCCAGTAGTGAAGTGAACAAGCAAGGTATATGTAGACAAACTGGGCAATGGCATGTGGGATTGTAAACGCATGTGGGTTGGATGTTTATCATTGATGGAAGGGGTACATCCCATGAGCCCAACCCAAGACATGTCGGGACTCCGGGGCAGTGGAGAAACCGTCCATGCACTTACCCTGGACTCCCTAGAGCATTTAGAATTGGCTGAACGCCGGTTGTGGGTGTGATCACCTTCCTACCACCTTCCTTCTTCTCTTCCCTACTTCCAACATGTGCTACTTAACGCCCAACGAGGTGCCCATAGAGGGCAGCCCCTTTCCATCCACTGGATCCTTCCGTGCATTTCTTCACAGCTTCGAATTCTGCAGTCCTTCCCCACCTTTCGTAGACCTTTGCGAGAAAGACCTTCGCTTTCGCGCTGATTGTTCCAGTGACGACAGTGACAGTGGCAGTGACTGCTGTGTGGTCATAGGTGTTGGGCTTGGCGGAAAGTTGCTTCACGAGTTTGATTTGTGGCCTCGCGGGCTCCATGGGAGACCCGAAGCTCATGGGGGCCATCATGACTGGACAAGGACCGGGAGTCCGCATGGGGACCGTGAGTGTCAAAGGGTCGTTGGGTCGTGAGGTGTGGCAGTTTGGAAAGGCAAAGATCAGATTGCTTGAAGTGGCACTGCATCGAACCTGGGCCACATCAAAACCAGCACAGGGCAAAAATGGCTAGGCGGAGTTTGGGAGACGCGAAGCTCATTTTGGCTCAGCTATTCGCGTCAGTAACCTTCGTTCGCGATTCAGTAGTCAGCATGTCTGTGAGTGCCGAAGAGGTGGCAAAGCACAACAAGGACAACGACTGTTGGGTCATCGTGGGTGATCAAGTGCTTGATGTCACGAACTTCTTGAGTGGGATCCTTGGGAAAGCGGAATGCTCGCGGATCATGAATCACTGTATTGATTTGTTTTGGCAGTAGGACGAAGAAGGAGTTATTGTTACTGAAGATCATGGGCCCCTGTTGATCCTACAATCATTGTGTTTGAATCATTTGTCAAGGAGGGCTGTCTCAGCACAACGATTCTGAATAGCACTTGTGTGGCAGATTTTTTGAGACTGTGAGCCGGCAAGGTGAGCACCCTGGTGGAAAGAAGAGCATCATGATGTTTGCGGGCAAGGACGCTACGGAGGAGTTTGACATGCTCCATGACCGCAAAGTCATCAAGAAGTACGGCCTTGATGAGGGCACTGTTGTGCTCAAGGGCACCATCAAGAAGTGAGTCAAGCGCAGGTGGTTTTGTGATTTAGGCTCCTGGTTGTCCAGTTTGAAGCCCGTTCAAGATGAGGTGCGTCCGACCAGAAAAGTGCGTCGAAGCGGGTGCGAAGGGAGCTACCCACGGACATTCCAACCGCATGGATCGTTGGGATCACACCAGAGTTGGATCAGAGCAGTGGTGCTCAGCTTGGATATATATATATATATATCGACCGGAAGAAAGCAACCCTCTTCAAGGAACGCCCTGCCGGTGTTTACGCCCCTGGCTGCTGATCACACCAGGGGTGTCTTCTGGTTGAACCTCCAACCTACCAGCGATGGCCTCCAACCTACCAGCGATGGCCTCCAACCTACCAGCGATGGCCTCCAACCTACCAGCGATGGCCTCCAACCTAATAGTGATGGCCTCCAACCCAATAGCGATGGCCTTCAACCTACTACAGTAGCTGGAGCTGATCCCCTCTTTTCCCAACAAGAATCTCTCCGGAGGCCTCCAAAGAAGTGAAGCCAAAAGGACACCAAGTGGCTTCCATCCATCTCTCCCAATGCAGCGACCGCTTGCGGTTGTTGCGGTGGTTCCATCCTTCACGTCGCTGCTGCAACGGTCCTTCCGAACAGAACGTCTTCCCAACAGCGAGTGGAGGCTGGTCATCTCCAAGTGGGTTATCTGAACATCTCCATACACTTGCTCGTGGTGATTTCCTATGATTTCCTGAAATCCACTAAGTAGAGTCAGCCTGAAATAGATGAACCAAAGCTGGGAGGAGTAAGTGTTTCTATTGGATTGCTCCCAAACATATCTACTTGAGAATGACTTGATTGGTACTGTGATCCTCGTGAATCTTTCCACCACCCTCGGGATCTCTCCACCGACGCCGCAGGAATTGTTGGAGTGGTCTGCCCGGTGCTCATGCTGTCCTTGAAGTTCCTCTCGGGTGATCCCATGCAGTGGAAGTACCAGGCTCTATAGATATATACACATGTATATATATATATATATTATAGAGCGCTTTCTTAGCAGAGTTTGTTGGGACGCTTTGGAAGTCTGAAGCAAGAGTGCCGATTTGGAAGAAGTTGAGTCCACCAAGTCAATCAATTCAGCTAGGTGGTCTTTGGATTCTTCGGCTTCTGCGCTGCCATGCAAGTGCTTGGCTTGTTCGTGGTGCGCTACGTCCCCACTTCACATCAGGCAGGGCAGTTACTTCGACGATCTGGACATGATATAACATAGTGTTAGGTTCGAGGGTTGCCCTGAACGGTTGTTCCCTGCAAGCTCTAGACACATTCTTATTGGTAAGAGTCCTTACACGTTTTTGTTTGTTTGTCTGTCTGTTTGTTTGGTTCGACCTTTTTTTTTTTTGTTTCTGTCCACTTTTGGTGCTGGAGAGCCACGGCCCAGTCAAAAACAAACATCACCAGAAACACATTCATCACTTCTGTTTGCTTGCCTCTTTTGTGCCTCGAGGACCATCGCTTGGCGGAAGCCACCATGGTGGATGTGGTCCGCCTCTGGGAGAGGATTTTAGAGAGTTGGACTCGGTCGGACTCGGCTGGTCCCATGGCTGGCCCCAGGGCAGTCCAAGGATGGGAACCAAAAGGGTGCCTTGTGACGTTCGTAGCGAACCTGGCCTCCAAGCGATGCAGCGAGCCTCTGGTTGACCTACAAAGTGAGTTGGTTGAGCCAGAGACTCCTTGCGTTCGCGACGATTGGGGCTGAAATCCATGGCCCAGATTCATCCATGCGGCGAAACGGATGCCGGATGTTTAGGCCAGGGCTCCAAGATAGGACTTGTCAAGAATTCCGGCAGTGCGTCTTCCGGGCTTTTGATTCGGCCCCAGGCTTCGGGAGAAGCACCCCGAGATGATCGTCTTTTGCCTCGGACGAAACAGCTTCCACCGGTGCTCGATCCACCCGTCTCGGACCCACTTGGGGCGTGTGCTCCACGCCACGGGTCCGCACCACACGCGCCACCGGTCGAGCGAACGGTTCGGGTCCGCGAGGCTCCTTCACCTCGACGGCCTCCGCGAGATCGATCGACTCGGCACGGCTCCTCCGGACAGAGAGGAACCTGTCGGCCGTGCTCCAGGCGCGGGCGTCGGGGGCCGTCTCAAGGTGGTGTGTGGGGGAAGCGGGGTGAGGTGGTGTGGCCATTGGTGTGGGGTGTTGTTGGGTTTGTTTACGCTTTTGCGAGGGATGGCCGCGTGTTGAGCTGCCGGAGGCGGTTTAAGGGTCGACCAGGGTTCATGTGAAAGAAAGGTAGACATTCTTAGCAGCACGGATTTTTTGCAGTCTTTTTTCATGTTGTTTTCGTGTTACACCACGGTGGTTTTGGAGGTGTTTTCCACCGCGGATGCGAGATGGTCTGGTGTTATATTCAGGTTCTCTTGCCGTTGTCGTTTCTTCGGCTGAAGCGGCCTTTTTGCCTTCCCCCAAAGCACCCTGCAGCTGCAGCTGCGACCGGTGAGCCAGCTTCAACCAGCTTCACACCGTTCGAGCACCAGGACGTGTGGCCGCAGCTGGTGAACATCTGCATGATCTTCGTGGCGCCTTCGAAAAGGAATGTCTCGTCATGGGATAATTGGCTTTGCTTTCGCACCTGCTGGGGGCTGCAGAAGCAGAAAAACAAACATGGAGAGACTCTCTGAAAAAAATAATCGACCCGAGTCTCTTGAAAAATGTTTGGCAGAGCTTCATCTTTGCGATCTCCAAACATCCAAACTGTTGCGCATGCTTTGCGCATGGCTCCAAGCATCCCAAACATCTCTTCTCTCCGCGCAGATCTGACCAACTCCCCGTCCGTCCACGGACGCCGGAGCGTCAGGTGACCTTTGTCGTCTTCCCGGGCGTGGCGGCCTCCTGGGCGCCGCAGCTGGAGTTCTTTACCAGCAAAGGTGCGGGACCTCCGACGGTCGTGGGGTGGCTACGTGCCAGTGGGATTGGGAGTAGTACAGTTATATACCAGCACCACGGAAGGGGTGGTTATTATTGAAATAGACTTAAATAGACAATACATAGTCAGGGGTGTCCATAAACAGCCCTTTCCGTGGTGCTGGTAGTTGTTAGTTCTGTGGCAACAAGGTAAGAAATGGATCAGCTACACAGCTGTACATGGTCAGTTGTGTAGTTACTAACACGCTTGCAGTGGAGCTGGAGCCAAGTTGTGTGTTGCCTAAGAACTACTGTAACAATTCTTTTGTCATCTCCAACTAATGGCGATCTCCCAGTTGAAACACGCTTGTCTTGCTGGGATTCTTCTCTCTTCGCGGGCGCGGGCCTCCACAAAAAAACGACCGAAGGCCAGGCCCGGTTTTTGGTCCATTCCAAGTCTCCACCCCAGCCCTTCCCAAATCGACCGCGGTAGGTCCCGATGGCCGCCCAGGTCGTTTGGGCCAGGACTGGTACACCACGTTGGTGGTGGGCATTTTTCAAATCTTCGACGTCGTGGGGCGATCGACTCCCAAGGCCCGCGGAAAGCGCCGGAAAGCGCGCCGCGGAAACCGGCGTCCGGTGGAGCCGTGCGGTTTGGAGCGCACAATGGAAGTCCAGATCTTTCAAGAGCTCTCCCCTGACCCGTCCATGAAAGATTCTCATTGACAGACTGAATGGTATAGCCAATGTAGACTTCTTTTTGCGAGGTGGTCTTTGGTCTCTGAGGTCTGGGGATCGGACATCGCACAAGGTGTCCTTCTTTTGGCAACAGAAGTGACCGATTTTGGTGGGGCGCTGAGTCTAGGGTCGCAGGTCAGGAGGATTCGCTGACTCACCCTCTCCTCTCTGGGCTTGGCTTTGTGGTTCGCACGTGCCAGGCCCTTGAAAAGATCGGGATCTCGGCTTCGCGACTCTTCATTCCCGTGTGGCTGCGCTGTCTCTTCATCCCTGCCGCTGGGCTGGCCCGTGTGGCCGCGATGCGTTGAACGTGGTTCTGGTCTTCGGAGGATGGGTCTTTAGGCTGGTTCTTTGAAGCTCATTTTGGTATGTGGGGGATCAAAGAGTTGAAGTAGAGATACTGGAAGCGGCCGTCAGGAGGGGCCTCTATATAGATCAAAAGAGAATACAAGAAGGGGATCAACAGAACTAAGCACAGGATCAATGAAAACAATAAGAACAGGACAGAAAAAGGTAATCCTGATTAGGTCGCCTAGTCCATTGGTCCCTTGGTCCATTGGTCCCCTGGTCATTTGGTGCCCTGGTCCCTTTCCTGGTCCGCTGGCCTCATGATCCATTGGTCAAGAACGCTTGTGTCGCCGGTCCTGCTGCTGTTGTCCTTTCCCTAGTCCCTTTTTCCTTTCATTGCTCACTGTGTGTGTGTGTGTTTCTTTCTTTTCTGTTTCAAATCACTTTCTTTTCAATTTTTCTTATCACCGTCAAATAGTTTTTGGTTGACGCATGTTGACGCTGTTCTTATTTTTGTTGGCAAAAGCCCTTGGGCTTCCTGAAGAGTGAGGCCACTTTAATCAACAGATGATGCCTTAAATTGGATGAATTGCAAGCCGCCCTTGGGTGTTTCTGAATCATTTGCCCGACTCATCATCAGTAGCATGGCTCCTAAAAGTTCTCACATGTCCAAAATGATCATGCCAGTGGCAGCAACTCACCAGCCAGAAGTTGCAGGGTGTTCATCGTTCAAGTGCGACGCATTCGTTCTTCAATGAACTCCCCCCCCAAGTCCTGGTTTAGTAGTATCGAATGCTGTTTTGTGTTCTTCTCTCATTTCGCGCGCCCTTCTTTTTCCATCGAGAAACTCCTCAGGTTTTCGTCGCAGAATTGGAGCCCGGGACCCCAATCCTCGCTCCGGACCGGTCCCCACTCCGAGGCGTTCATGCTGCTGCAGAGGTACCCAGGCTCTCTGCCAGCCCCCTGGCAGGCGGGGAGACACATCCGGGGTGACACTGAAGAGAGGAAGGTCCGAATTTGATTTGGGTATAGGACTGGCCCGCGGATGGTTCGCAGGACTCCTTGATTTGCGAGACGAGATCATAAACACGTACTATATGTAAAACCCCAAAGCCAGCACACAAGTCCAACTGAAACCAAAGATGTCATTTGCATTTTGGTTTATGGTCTGACAAACCCAAACCAGCACATCCTCATCCCTTTTCCTCTCTTTTTCTTCCTCATCCTCATGAAAAAAAAGAATTCCCTCATCCAAAACATCGCAGATGGGTCTATTTGGACGGAGCCCGCGGCGGCACGACCTCCCAGCACGAGCTCCCGAAAACACCACTCGGTCCCTGGCAAACCGTGCCCCGAACTCCCTGCGCTCCGCTGGTCGCCGGTGTGCCTTCTCGGTCTCCTTGTGCCCACAGCCATACCTCTTGAGAGGTGAAGTGACCTTATGGGACTGAGCTACCTAAAGACGTCTATAGGGTCCTTCAACATCACTCAACCTCTGTTGGTATGGCCTTCCCCGTCGCCTGCCCCGCCCCTCCGATTGAGGACTACCTCGCTTTCGCCACGATGGCACTCTTTGCTGCCTCCAATGGCTGGTGCAGCACACTGTCAATGATCTACGGGCCTCAGCAGGCGCGACACGGCCGACATGGGTGGATGCGACGTGTGTGCGGGCGTGAGCATGCGTTTCCAAAGGCGGACGGCACGAAAACTTGGAGAAGACAATGAGAAAGCAAGCTGAAACAGTTGGTCTCAGCGAGCTACACGGGGTTTGTAGTAGGCAAACACCTTCCAGAACATCCACGCCTCGTCCCCCCAGAGCGGAGGCGCGATCACCGCCCAGACACTGGGCGCGCCTCCTGGGCGTGACACCGCCAGCGAATAGGGCGGTCACCGCGTTGCGGCAGGTGCAGCATCCGGATGAGCAGCATCGGGCAGGAGTGATCATGGAGCTGGGCCTTATTCTTGGCATTTTTGCAGGTGGGGAAATGGAGGGAAAAAGGGGAAGGTATGACGTGTGGAGCAGGTGGACATGGTGGGGGAAGGCGGGACGTTGGTTCAGTTGCGAGTTGTTTTCACCCTTATTTCCGCGGCACTTCGGCTGACGGAAGAAGCGTTTCTTGAAGGCAACACCTCCTTCAGGCTTCGCTCTTGTGAGAGTAGTGCTAAGTAGGGAAGGAGGGAATGAGCTCTCTATTCTCATTAGACTCAACCTCCGGCCCCCACTTGGATTGCAAAGCCTCCTCAAATGTTCTTCTGTACTAATTATAATCAAGAGTCTACATTCCCTACGCCTCCAACCACATCCTCAGGTTCGATGGTTGGGGTGGCTGCCATGGGGACTGACCTCCCGACCTTCTTTTCGGGGCCTGGGACAGGAGCCCAATCCGTCGGCACCCGTCGAGGCTCGGTTCTGGCGCTGTTGACGCAACTGGGTATCCATTGAGGCGAAGTGAGTGCGAATGTGACCGGTCAAGCGTTTTGAAGAGAAGTTGGGAAGAAGGAACACGAATCGAGTATGAGTAAGTAGCTTCTTTCATCTTCTTTGCTCTTGGAGCCTGGTAGCAATGGCCTCCAACCTAGTAGCAATGGCCTCCAACCTAAGATGAAGCTCTACAGAATGTGGCCAGGGCCCTCCTGCCCAGTGGACGCCAAGCGGATCTAGAGGATGTGAATTTGACCAACAAACCTGTCGGGTTGTCGGCTGGCAATCCCAGACAAAAATCCACAGTGCGTGGAAATCTGGAGATGTCGCCCGAGTGGAGAAAACACTCTGGTAGAGCTGAGGGGGGGAGTTGCAGAGCTGGGTAGATCATGAAAGTGGACACTCTTTTTGCAAATCACCCCGCAAATCTCACTGTTCCCTTCTTCTTTGGACACACCTGGAAAAGAGGGTTCTTGACCATGTTTAACTGTTTGCAGTGCCAAAAAGTCATACAGGAGACTGCGGGAGACGAGTCCCTTTTTGGGAACTTCCTCAGCACCGACAGAACACTTGTTTGCCGAAGCAACTGCATGAAAGCCGCAAAGCCTTTTCGGTCTCTCGACCTACAGTCCGATGAAGAATTCCATCCTGATGGGAGAAGACCTGTTTCAGCAGTGTCTTTTCACCCGAAGACGGCACCTCTCCACTCCATTCTAATGAGCCTTTATGCGTTCCAAGTTCCTGCTCCCATCCTCCCCAGAGGGGAGGGATGAGGGAGTTGACCGAGTCATCTCCTCGTGCGTCTTGCGCCACGTGCCACACGCACGAGTGTTGGGACTGGTATAGGATTGGGCGAACCGCGCTTTTTGCCAGGTTGGCCTCCGATCGCACCATTTTGATCCACTTTGAAAGGGTATTAAACATGGAGGGTCGACCTTCCATTCCAAGGACCAGCTCAAATCACTGTGGTTGAAGTTGATCTGGGGGCCATCCTGTTTGTTTTGCCTTTTCTATTGCAGTTTCGGACCCCGGCTACAAGGGCAGCGACGGGAACCAAAACCGACCCGCGCCACGGGACCTCGCCGTATTCGCTCGCATCGTGGTCAGCGAGGAAGGACGCATCGAAGAGTTTCCGGAAGACCTGGGGCAAGGTTTTGGGGCGCGGTTTGGGTTTTGGGGTGGTTTCTTGCACATGCGCGAGACAGGCTGAGTTGAAACGAGGTGGCAACCCATTGGGCTCGGTGCAACGGGAGGAGCAAATTCAGTATATTGATGTATAATTGACAATAGTATACGTAGTCTGTTTCGCAACTGGAAGTGTTTCCAAGGCAAAGACTGTGATCAACAGTTCAGAAAGCTGAAGGTTTCAGCTGCAGGCAGAACATGACTTGTGTGTGGTGTCAGAAATTCGCGAACTTGGGCAACGCTCTGAAGTTCGCTGTGCTCAATGCGGCAAACTGGCACATCGAGATATCTGGAAATCATGACCTGATCTTCAAGGGTCTCATCTTGAGATGGGACCCAGAATACCGTAGAAGGCACTCCCTTTCAAGAATGATTTCACCCGCCTCGAGCGCCGAATTTGGAAAGACCGGAACAGACCCCGCTGGCGGGGGGGTGGCACTCGACACCGGGAGTGCTACTGCCATGACCAGGTCCGTCGCGTCCGTTTGTCCGGTCGCCTCTTTGGACCATGGGTCGGTCGGTCCCGACGTTCGACTTCGCTTCATGTTCGGACCTCGGACCTCGGACCCGTTCCAAGGCCGACATGCGGCACGACGAGCTCCTGAGACTAGGCGGGGGGTTGGTTCGCTCCAGGAAAAAGGGTAGAGAGATCTGTAGAAAAGTAAGTATAAAGGATGTGAGAAGCCAAGAATATCGCGTTCTAGCTCCGTTTTGGTGCAAATTTCGACCAACATATGTTCTTTGATCTACTCGGCAAGGTACGGGGGAGCAGGTGGACAGAAATGAAGTAGTCTCAGACCAATCATACTTACACACTGGTTTCCGAGTCCAGCAGTGGATAGCAGGCAAACACTCTAGTTCTCATTCCTGTGACACCTCTGAACAGGCAGGAATGCAGCACTGCACAGATATTTCAGGTCAGGAAGAAGAGCACTTGTACCAGGAGCATTGCTCATGCTGATCGACTGCTTTCTCCTATCACTAGTCACTAGTGATCAACCAATATAGGAATGCTACTGTACTGCAGAAGTATGGAACAGTCCCCCGACACCCTGACTCTCAGAACGTTGGTGTGACAAGGCTTTCCACCCACAGCACATCCCCCAGCACACTACATTGTCAGGTTGCGCAGGTTCTTAGTCATTTTAGTTTGGGTCGTAGATATATAGATTATACTTCCTGCACTGCCTCTCCTTTCTCAGTTTTCCTTGTGGATCGGGTTTCCGTGCACAGCCAGCCTGGGGCTGCCAACCACCGAGGCAAGTTTGGAGCATGGCTGTTGAAGCTGGCGCCTCAGCGGGCTTGGTGGAAGGGCTTCCACCACACCGGAGCTCTACTGAGGCGCCTGGCGCCACGACCGGTCTATTTCCTCTTGCCGGGAGCTGTGGCCAAGGCGGGTTCCGATGACGGTGTGGTCTGTTCCGATGTGGTCATTTCTTTTCGGATGACGGCCATTTTCGCTGAGTTGAAGCCACAGCGCGTCCTGTTCGGTCGTCTTGGCCCTCTCTCAGGGCCCGCCCACGGCGCTGAACGCGGCGACGTGTGCTGGGCACCCGAGTTCAAACGGCGCCAAAAAGCGCCCAATTCTCGGTGCCAGGGACGTGGCCGTGGCACACAGGGACGTGGTCGAAGACGTCACAAGAGATGTGTGCGGCCGTCGTAGGAAAAAGAACGCCCCCTTACATAGGACGTTCGACGTCCCGAAGAGACGACCAGGACCAGACGTTCAAGACCGATTCGCAGAGGGGTTCACCTTTGTTGGTAAATCGTTTGTGCTGTGCTGGCCAGGCAAACAGGGCGACGGATCGCTCATAATCAAAGAGGATAAGCGATGCATCCAAGAAATAGATTGGACATGATAGGAATAGATCGAATCAACAACCAGAGCTCTCTTTGGGTCTTTAGTACATACACCTCCTTCATGTGGTCTACCACAGGCGGAGCTAGCGGAGCTGCTGTGCACCGTAGCTTCCAAGAATCGCCTGCCATTGGAAGGTGCTACCAGAGGTCTCCAAACCAGATAGTCTCAATTCCAACATTTAGTCGGATTCATGAGTCAGAGTCACTCTGTTTGTTGGGTCACCTGAGTACAGATCATCCTGTGTCCGACTCGCCATGTGAGGGGGCTTTCCTTTGAATGTCTGCATGTCTTCCGGACGAATCACCTGGACCTGTTGGATCTCCAACCTGGGCTCGGCGCCGGCGTTCTGAGCACCTGCGGCGGCCTCCGCACCGAGGCCTGGCCTCTCTACATCGAACTGTGCAGCGATGTGGTCCTCTTGGACTCGGAGCGATGGCAGAAGTCCCCCTGGGCCCGGCCCGGACGGTGGAGTCGGCATCGAACGGAGCGGAAGGTCCCCGGTCCTATCCCCCTTTTTCGGCCCCAATGGAACGGACGTGCCAACCTTCGGACGGTGCTGCGAGGAACAGGGAAGCTGGTCAAGCGCTGATGTGACAGGGCAGAAGCTCGCTTTGCCCACTGGTTCTGAACACTGAACGTCAAACTCCCGGCACTGACATGTCTAAGAGAGATGCGCAACATTGCGCAACGGTGTTCGGACGTTTTCTCCCAATATGTACGATACCGTACTTTTGGACTATAAGGTCGCACGTCATGGTGGACATTCATTATGGATGCCATGGACTTGAAGTACTCGTGAATCTGAAGATTCCTTCATTTCGGGAATCCAGCTGGACCAGCTGGCGCACTTCTTTCAGCTTGTAAAGTCTGTTGGCCTCCCCCAAAAGGACTTCCCTGATCTGAGGAAGTCCTCATCTTCATACACTGTGTTTGTTTGTATCTTCATTTGTTTGCCGCTGAACAGATGCCCTGATGCCCCCCTACGCTGGTTGGAAGGAGTCCTCACCCTTGTGCTATCACAGACACGTTTCTTCAACGGATTTTTGTCACACACGTTGTTCTCCAAGTGGAGAATTCCAAACCTGCCAGACCTCAGAGAAGATAGAGAAGTCTTTTGCCAGTTGATCAGAACTGAGTCGGGGCGGGACACACCCCCGCCGTTCTTTGGAGAGTCCAGATGCCCTCTGGCAGACCCGGATGGATGCTCTCTTGGCTGTGTGGGCAAAGACTCCCATCTATGTGCTACCCGAGAAGTGCGCCTCATCTGTTGCTGCTGAGCTGGCTTGGCTTCTGTCGATTCCAAGAATCAGTCGATTCCTCGTCTACTTGCACTTTGTCCATGAAGCTCTTTCAAGAGGTCATGTGTTCTTTTGCTTTGTCAGGCACACTTCCGTGACAAAGTACCCTGCCAAGTAGCTGCCAAGCAGCCTGTAAATGGAGAACATTCCGCAACCCGATTGATTGATCGAATATCATTCACAGGAGCGTTGGAGGCGACTGGGAGATTCAGAGCCGACTAGACTCATCAATTGTGGACACCGCAAATGGTTGGCCTTGGTATCTTCAACTGTTCCGAATTCAGTAGCACGTGCGGTAGGAGCAGCAACCCAAGTGCTTCCACATGATTCCGTGTATTGACTCCATGTATTGACTCCATGTTTGCGGGTGTATCAAGCGTGTCTCGAAATTGGGGAACCCTCCCAAATCCACCCTTCAGCAGAGGCAAACCCATCAATCCGTCTGGCCAGAATCGTCTATATAAATGAGTGAGTGAGTCCCGAAACAACAGAAACACCACCCATGACATCTGGCCTCCTCCCCGCTCCCCGCTCCGGTCTCTCATGCTTCGTCAGGTACTCGCCTGCAGTGGCTCTCCCAGACGCCTCCGCAGCGCCACCGGCGGAGGATTTCGAGGGAAAAACGGACCAAAGCGCCACACGGTGACGGTGGGAGGAGCGTTGGTTTGTTATTTTTTCCCGAGGCACCGAAGCGTACACAGAAGCGTACACGACACTGGTGCAGCGTGCTGGTGCAGCTCTTCCCAATCTTCCTCATCTTCCTGCATCCGATGGACCATGGGAATCCACTCCGCGTGGACTGAGGAACGACGCAAGGAACACACCTTGAAAACACAAAAACATCCGCCATCTCATGCCATTCCTACAGATCCCATGGTGCCCCGTTCGTTCATGTCTCTGGTAGGAGTTCCACATGCTCCCTCCTATCCTTCACGGTGTTTTCTCTGCAGACGAGGAGGAGTGTAGGGGACACTCCATCTTTCTTGCAGAACCTGAACATGGTTTCTTCGGCTTGGCACACTTGCTCCCCCTTCTTGAAGGATGTTTCCTCTGGAAAGTTCCTTAACACCCGTCGGCTTCGGCTTCTGTCGGCTTCGTCCAGGACGATGACGCCAAGGCCAGCGCTGTGAGCGAACCCTTGAGCTTCGCCAATGAGGCGTATCGAGTCCGAGTCCAATCGATTGAACAACTGAGCAGAGGGGCGGCCAGGGGGCCAGAAGATGAAGATGAGGTAAACACAAAGCTTTGGGAAGCATGTTCTGAAAGCGGGATGCAAGAGGAGCACTTGCATGGATGAATCCCAATGCTTCGAGATGTTGATAGCTGTTAGTGGCTTGTGTTCCTTGTGTTCCTTTCCAAGATAGTTTGTGAAAGAAGCCCACGTCTCATAATTGTACATGTGCACATGTCCAGCTAATCTATAAAAGTGAGCAAGCTAAACAGTCAGGGCACCGACTTCAGCCTGCAGACTGCCCCACCGTGCTCAAAGCGCGGCTCTTCTTTTGAGCACTTGCAGGGTTCTTCTTTGGGCTTCTCGGCAGAGGTCGGACCCTCCATAGCGGTTCGGACCAACCCTATGTGAATCAGGGTGCGGACTCTTAGTCCGGCTCGGGCGCCCGGGCGCCCAGCCTCACATGAGGGACCCCAAAACACTCGAGTCCGGTCCCTGAGCGGTTCCTGATTTTGCTTCGGCTCGGGCTCCCCGTCTCCATCCTCCGCCCTCTCCCGGCGCTTTGACTAGCGGGCCGACTCCGCTCGCCGTTCGAACGCCGAACGCAGGAGCCTTTGACCATCAGCCGACCGGCGGAGGACGCGTCGGTCGTCAGCGGTGGGGTGAAGTAGTTGGGTGGATGTCCTTGGAGACTTGGAGCTGCCATTGACTTGGAGCTCCTTGGGAGGTCCACAAGCAAACAGAGAACCACAGGAGGGTGGGTTAGCTGCTTTTCACCGGTTCGGTGAAAAGGGCTAGCAAGGAATTCTCGGCCTGGATTCGCTCATACACTGCTATACACTTGTTTGTTCATGTCTCCAATATTGCATGACGCTGCGCCATACATCTTTCAGCGACCAGTCGCCCCCGTCGCCCCCGGCTCTTTCAGCGACGCACCAAACCGCCGCCACGACGCTGCACACTGAGCGCCCCCTGCCGTCGCCCCCTCGCCAGGGCTTGTCAACGCCATCGCCTTTGCTGCTGGGTCTTTGCGATCGAGCAGCCGAGGGTGTCGAGGTTCAAGGCGCTGTGAAGGCGTGGGGGGACGGGTTGGGGGCGCCCACTCCTTGAAAGAATCATGGTCCCGTTGGAGGACCATTTTCCTTGGCCAACCATGGAGGTTTGCCACTTCCATGGTTGTTTCAGGGAGGGAGTTGGGGCATTTGGGCAGTTGGGGGTGAAGCACTCATGGGGTGCTTTCTTGGATGTTTGGAGAGGTCATGAACATCAGGTGATGGACGGATGGAAGGAGTGATCCGATGTCTTAGTTCTTTGAAAGACTCGCCCCGGTCATTCTGTGGTCCGTTTGATGAAAGGAATAGCCATCGAATTGGGGACGATCCGGAACGATCCGGCGGTAAACATGGTGTGCGCAAGTTCCTTGAATCGAGTGTACAAGTTCCGCTGATGGAACAAACGTTCCCTTTTTCCCCAATTAGGATTCTGTATTATACACACTAGAGGTATAGGGGATACGCAGGGATACCATAACCCATATAAATCCATTGGGTGTGCAGTAAAATTAGGGAGGATCCGAATCAGTTCTACGGCCTGGAAGAAGGAAAATCGACGCAAAGCTCTTGGACGATGGGAATACAAACCCCAAGGTGGCCCATTTCCCAAAATAGCCTCGGGCCGTTTGGAATGAGCGACCAGACCTGCGCAGACCCGGTCTTGACCGCCAGGTGCAAAAGCCAACGCTGGCCGTGAAACGTCTGGTCTAGGAGTCAAAAAGGCGTCGTTGGAGGGAGCTATTTTGGATCACAGCTGGAAGCAAAGCGAGAGCTAGCTGGCGGTCGAGCGTAGACAGCGCGCTAGACTCTTGCGGGTCCGGTGTCCCAAAAAGACCTTTTGGAGGCTTTCTTCTCTTTTCCCGATTTTCCATGAAAGAGGGTGGTCGCGTGCTTTTTGGATCTTGACACTCTCAACTCCTCTTTGAGCCAGCAAACATTGCAAAAGAGACATGATACAATGATACATGATACATCAGCTCAAACGTGGCGCAGGTGAGGTCGTTTTTATGGTGTGGATAACATGTCTTGTTCTGCGGCATCATCAGCCTCACTCAAACATGGTTTCGGATCCGTTTAGCCCTTTGGCTTCAGGAGTTTTTGCTTAACAGACCCGTGTGCATGCGTGTGCACTCGTTGTTGCAGGCACCATCAAGCTGCGATGTTCACCATGCCGGAGCTTGATTTTGATGAGATGCTGGCATCTCTAGCAGCCGCTGCATCTGACGACCCTACAGATCATATGCCGATGACTTGCACCTTGAATCTGAATTGAATTCGGCTAACCTTTCTCGCGAAATGGGGCAAAACCCTTTCACATCTCAACCAGGTGCTCTTGAGGATTGAGTGCAAGACTGCAAGACACGCCACCGGCATCACATCGGGCGGCCAGTTCACATCAAACCTAGGTAGATTCCAATGGTTTTAGGGCGTTGATGGAGCGATTTTCTCGCTCTGTGCCTGGGCACCTCTGCTCGTCCAAGGCAGGGAATGTGGTGAACGCTGCGGCAATCGTATGGAATCTTGGCTTCACACCCATTCGCCTCTTGGTTGATCAGTGGCAAAACCTTTTGCTTGTTCAAGAGATTAGCCGCAAGGAGCACTTCTATATACATTATACATAAGTGGTTGGGGGACTTGTGTAAGACTGGGTCCGGTCTCTGAAGTGAACCTCCACGTCTTTAGCGGATCCGGAACATCACGGTCTGACGGGCTGATCCCACATGGACGGGATCATGTCAGATCTTTTCTGTTTGTTTGCACCAAAGTCCAATAAATCGATAGACTCACGGTTTTTTTGTTTGTCTCTTTTTGGCTGATGTGGGTATGTGTCAAAACGAAACCAATCCATGGGCATTCGAACCCCGATTGGGCTTCGAAACCGAAGCACAAGAACTGAGACGCCACCAAAGACTAGTCAAAAAACACCCCCTGCGTGACGAAGGACTGGTCGAACCCGGTTTCAAGGGCCCTTTTTCCGTAGCAAAGAACGGCCCGCGGTCCACCGTTGCTGAGCTGCCTCGGTTCCCTTCGCTGCCTCGGTTCGGGGAAGAAGGCCAAACCCACGACTTCCCGGTATCGGCCGGGCATCGGGCATGTGTATCAAACAGAAATTAATTACTGAATCAACCAAGAATTAATTGCATAATCAAAAAAAGAAATTAACTCATCAATAAATAGTTATTTCCTTTCCCGTCTGGTCCACATGGTCGTCCTGGTCCCCTTGGTCCCCTGGTCCTGGTCCCCTTGGTCCCCTGGTCTCCTTGGTCCCCTGGTCCCCTTGGTCCCTGGTCCCCTCGTCGAAGGGAAGGGAAGGAAGAAAAGAAGGGATCCAGGTAGGAAGTGAGGAAGGCAGCAAGGATGGAAGCAAGGCAGCCAGGAGGCAAGGAAGCACGGACAGAAGAAGGCCGGAAAAAAACAACGTAACAAAGGAAGGACCACAAGGAAAATGAAGAATAGAATTAAACAACAACAAGCAACAAAAGAATCATAAAACATGTCAATAACTCCCGTTAGTTGAGACCAATGTAGTACACACCTGAAAGCATTGGCCGTATGTGCTCATGGGAGGGAGGTGCTGCGGGGTGGGTAGTTTCCGATGATGTGTCGAGAAGGAAGCAAGGAGGGAGGGAAGAAAAGAACCATCAGACATGCCTCCTGCGCCAGGAACTCCGCACGTACTTTGCAAATCTCTTGCCGCGAAATTTGAGTTCATTGACAGTTGAACATTAATGCTGCTGTTGTTCTAAAAAGGAAAGCGAGGCAGCCAGAAGCCAAGGAAGGAAGAAAGCAGGAGGACACAACTTAGCATAAAAGCAGGAGGAAACAACTGCAATAAATAGAAAAGAAAAGAACCATCAAACACGTTAATCACTCACGTTAGTTCCGACCAATGTAGTGCATACCTGAAAGCACTAGCCGTGTGTGCTCATTGGGGGGGAGGCGCTGCGCCCTCCCCCCTAACCCCCCCTCCCCCGCCACGAAATCTGCACACGCCCCGTCCCTGTAGGGTGGAAAAGGGTTTCCTCACTAGAATTGTGCGTGGCCACTTGCATTAATGTAATGTGAGTCAAATTGCTCTGCGAGCCTGGCAAAATAGTTTAAAAACGAACCCAAATGCCAGCAGGTCCGACGCCCAGCCCAAAGAGGCTTTGTGGTGAATTGTTTTTTTGATTAAATAATTAGCGTTTTTCTTGATCCTCTTGAATAGTTTTTTTGTTGCAATAAATATTTTTTTTGATACTTCACCCCGGGCATCGGGCAGGAGTCGTTTCCTTCGGCCAGGACCGGGCATCGGCAGTTCACCTCCACGCCCGATGCGCACGAGCAGCTGCCCTGTGTGTGTTGCAGTTGTGGGCATCGATGCTTGAACCGTTCCGCCGCTGTGGAACATGGTAAAACAACAGGTGCGGAGGATGTGTTTCAGATGGGGCGGGGTGTGTGTGTGTGTGTGATGGGGGACACATGAGAATGTTGACTTGAACATGAAGAAGATAGCTTTTGAAGGGAAATCCACTGATGACGTGGGCCAACTTGCTAGGCAGACTTCAAAGAGGGTGCTGCAGGAATTAGAACTGCCACAATCCCGGCACAACCTCCTGGGTTTTGTAAGTAGAACCGAATGGAGCTGCTTTTGTATGCTTTTGTTTCTCAGTAATTCAATTCGTGACTTCTGCCACTTGCTTTCAACACTGATCTCCAAGAGCTTAAGGATAAAAAATCGGCTGGGTTCCGGCAAAGAACAGACTGAATTGTGTTTTCCTGTAGGTTAGAGAGTATTATGTATTACGTGCCTGGACAGTGGATGGGTTCCCTTCACTGCAGCCCGTCGCTTCCAAACTGTTGCTGGCTTCAGCACCCGAACTTGGCCAAGCATACTTCTTGAGGCCTACAGCAAACCGTTTCACGCCAATAAAGCCAGTCGGAGAATCGCGTTGAGTTACTGTAGATAAGAACTAAAAGGAAGGAGAGTTTACCAAGTCAATGATGTTGGCTCCCAACATGTTTCCCACATCCTCCCTAGCTCAGCCACTTGCGTTGGACTGTCCCACAATTCTGGACCAACCCACCTCAGCGTTCTTGTTCCGGATGAAACAACAATTTTCGGTCATCCTCCGTTCGCCAGGAATTCTTGGTCGAAAGGTCCTGGTTTCCACTGGTTTCCATCCCTTCCTCCGTCTTCGACCCCCCCACCTGGCTCGTCGGAAAAGCCGCAAAGCGGGAACCCGCACCAATTTGGCGCGGTGCGCCATCGGGCTTTTGCTGCGCGGTCAGGTCACCACCAATTTCGAGTTCAGGGACGACATTGCGAGCACTGTGCTGGTTTCGCAGCAGCCTGCAGTTGCTCCCAGGGCTGCCCCAGACCACCGGGAGCTGAGTGTGAGGCACGCAGCAGGGGAAGTAGCAGTAACCACTGCGAGCACTGTGCGGGACGTTTGGGGGCTTGTGCGTGCAGTGAGTGTCCTCGAAAGCCAAGCAGCCTATGTTTTGACATGAGGGGCGCAATGGGTGCGAAAGGAGAAGGCCGCCATTCAGGGCACAGGTTCGATGGTGACCAATGTGAGGTTTGTCGGGAGTGTGGACGCTGCACCTATCGCATCACTGGGCGTACCAGTTGCATCAACGATCGAGGACGTGGACCACGTGAGCGGCCTCCCATCTGTGGCTGCGGGAGCGGCCCTTCAGTGTGCTCCCGTTGTGGGGTTGGCCCATGTTGTCGCGCCCGCCGTTGCCAGCCACCCGAGGCTCCTGTTCTGCGGCCATCTCCTGTTCCCCCTGCTCCCCGGCCAGTCTTGCGGCGCGAGAATTCCTCGCGCCAACGTGGGGGGAACGTGCCGGAGAATCAACTAGATGAAGATATAGAGCTTGCCCAAGCGATAGCTCGATCATTAGAAGAAGCTCTGCCTGCAGCACCAAAACCAAGCCCACAACCCCATCAATCTGGAGATAGAGCCAGAAGAGAACAAGAAGAACTGGACATGGCGATTGCTCTCTCTCATTATCGGAGGCCTATGGGCCATCCCCAGCCCCACCAGCTGCACCAGCTGCACCAGCTGCACCAGCAGCCCCAGCCCCACCAGCTGCACCGGCTGCACCAGCTGCACCAGCTCCTCCATCTGCACCGGTGGCCAAGGCAAAGGCACCATCTGCGCCAGCTGCAACTCCAGCTTTCGAGGTGACTGAGAGCTTATCAGATTATGCTTACATTGCAAGATGCACCAACAACTTCTCTCCTGATCGTTCTCTTGGTGCTGGAGCCTATGGCACTGTCTACCATGGGGTGGATCATGAACATTTTATGGAGTTCGCAGCCAAGCGCTTGGAATGCCAAGATGCGCAGCAGCGAGAGCAGCTGGAAAGAATGACTGCAGCTGAAATCCGAGTCTCTACCTAAGTCGATGGACGTCATGTTTGAGAATGTTTTCTGGTGAGGAATCACAGATGTAAAGCGCATCAGATCAGAAATGGCTCTGATGTTAGCAGTTTTTTTTTTCCATGGTTATTTGGGTGCCCCAACACGTTAACTTACATGAGCAGAACCTTTTCAAACGCACGTGTGGGTCATTGAATTTTCTGTTGCCCAGCCGACATGAGAATACCAGCACAAGAATGAAACTCATGTGCACAGTGCCACCCGTTCGACACAGCAGGGGCTGTGCCAAGGAAGTTGTTGGTGAGAGGATCCAAATTGTGCCTATACACCGCTCGATCGAACAAAGTGGCCCAGGAGAGCGCAATTGGCAGCCCCTTTCCTTCGCAACCAAAAGGATCATCCCAGAACTAGGTTTGGCTCACGCATGCCATGCTCATGCCCCGACTCTTCACAAGTTGTCTCAAGCGCAATACACAACTAATTACTCAATTGCTTTGTTCTCGGCATTTTCCTGCAAAGCGCCGGCCACATCGGTGCCCGCCTGTGCCGCTGATGCATTTGTCGCACGCTGCACGCATGTTCCACGACACATGGAGGGGAGAAACATAAAGAACCAAGACCCAAGCTGAGAGCAAGGGGCGCGGCAGATCTCTGTGTGTTGTTTGGCAACTTCTGGAATGCGAGTCCCGTGATACGAAACACAAGGAAAGAAACATCCGAGTCTCTTATTGCTTGCGCAAGATTTTTTAAAATCACTTTTTCGTGCCTTTGTGAGGTTCTCACCACTTTCGCCCATCCCAACATCATCGCTCTCTTGGGACATTGCTCTCACAGAGATGGTGCAATCTTGGTGTATGAGTTTCAGCCGGAGGGAAGCCTAGACCAACACTTGATTAAGGATCTGCGGCCGCTCTTTTTGTTTCTTCGAAGCCAATCCTTGAAGCCAATTCTGAAACAGATCCCTCCAAAACAAGGGGCGCTGAGATGGGCGGCCGACACCTGCCATCTCCCTTCAACATGGGATGGGGATCAGCTCGGGGTGTTAATTTTGGTACCTCTTTGGTATTCGGAAAGGCCATGCCATCCGGGTGACTATGATTCTTCCACTTCCAACACATAATTATCATTAATTTGTCTTAATTATAAGAATTCTTCCTCTTCTTTTTTCTTTGTTTCTAATAGCGATGGCCTCCAACCTAGTAGCGATGGCCTCCAACCTAATAGCGATGGCCTCCAACCTAGTAGTGATGGCCTCCTACCTAATAGCGATGGCCTCCAACCTAGTAGCGATGGCCTCCACCCTAGTAGCGATGGCCTCCAACCTAGTAGCGATGGCCTCCAACCTAATAGCGATGGCCTCCAACCTAGCCTCCAACCTAGTAGCGATGGCCTCTGACCTGATAGCGATGGCCTCCAACCTAGTAGCGATGGCCTCCACCCTAATAGCAATGGCCTCCACCTTGGTAGCGATGGCTTCCAAGCTAGTAGCGATGGCCTCCACCCTAGTAGCAAAGGCGTCCACCCTAATAGCGAAGGCCTCCAACCTAATAGCGATGGCCTCCAACCTAGTAGCAATGGCCTCCACCCTGATAGCGATGGCCTCCACCCTAGTAGCGATGGC